TTTTACAGTTTGTTCAGAAAAGGTAAACTAAAATACCGTGTAATCAATTTGTGAATATCGCAACACTCGGTAATTGTGGCTGGTAGTTTACCTACGACTAGGGTTGCCAACCGTCCTTCATTTCAAAGTATAATCCTTTATTTGAGATTTTTGTCCTTGTCCTTTTTAAGATGATAATTGTCCTTTATTTTTTCCAACGTCGTTTTTCCTGATAGTTATAGTACTGTGTTTGATATTGTTTCGTTCTTAAATCGCCTCCGTTTATGTATTTGCAAGCTTTTAATTATTCTTTTTCATTTCGCTTTGGTATGGCTCAAATAGCCAAAGAAATACCAATTTTATTAACAATTTCAAATATTCTACATTTATTTCCCGAAGATGGCAATAGTGGCAACACTCCAAGATTTGAGTGAATTCTAGTTCAATAACTGAAAATTCTACGTATAATTGGTCTCTAAGATTTTAGATTATTTCTCAACTCTGCGATAACGTATTTGGAAAAAATATTTTTGACTCTGATGAAAATTCAACATTTGGAAAATTATCTCTTTCGGATAATCTTTCTCCAAAATATCAGACACTTGTAAAAATTGTAGAGCATTTGAAGCTAAAAGACAAACTTAATTTGAATATGTTTGACCTATTTGATGAAGTTGCACTCATTCAAATTAAATTTTGCACTATTCGAAGCACTAAACTGTTCACAGAATGCAGTTTGATTGCGTCAATGTTAAATACACATTAAATGAAAAACACATGAAGATTTTTTAATATATCTTTTTAGCTTTTATATAGTTTGTATTTCATTGTTTTATATTGTTCTTTCCTGCAAGTTACAAAATAAATGATGACGGTAATATATGGCCTTTATTAAGACTTTTCATAGTTGGCAACCCTACCTACGACATAGTGTTGTGTTTGTGGTGTCTAATTTGCCTTTTTTTACAGATAGGATAGGATAGGATTTTACATATTTATCCCGGGGGAGAGGAAAGCCGATAAGACGGCTTATCCATATGGCGAACCACGGCCTCTCGTCCGGTTACCATTCCAAGTCGGGTATGGGATGGGGTACCAACGACGGCGAGGAGTCCAGCAATCCTCTCGCACATAACCATCCCTGCATGGGATTCGAACCTGCGAACCCACGCAGAGTAATTAGAGGTGCGGTGGCGAGCGTATTCCTAACGCTTAGCCCGTTGAGCCACACCGCCGCACCATCACAGAAATAAGCTAGCTGTTTTGTTCAATTTTGAAGACAAGTTTTCTGGTAACACAAAACGGGGAGGCTCAATATGCGATGCGCCCCCACTGTCGTCAATCGTTTTTTGATAATAAACAAGGCCGAGTATTTCACCACTGTGAAGCTAGTAGCAAACAGTGTTTATAGTCACTTTGGTAGCAAACTAGCAAACCTTCTCCTAATTTTGCGCAGCGGTGCGTTAAATCTCGTTTTTGTGCTCATTGGAGCGTGATATTGCAGTTTTGTGCTTATTGAAGGGTGTTGGTGTAAATTATGGGCGGTATGTTAGTCGTTGATCATGGGCGAGTCCTAAATTCCACACTGAGAACAATATTATTTAGTTTACAGATACAGAAGAAATATATTGCGGTAAGCAGTAAATTCAAATATATTTACGGCAACTTGGGAATGAGTGGAGATCATCAAGGCGGTTCATCTGTATAAGTTTGAATATTTACTAGTAATTGAAAGTTATGATTCTTTTACATGACATTTTGGGGTAATAGTTCTCATGACTGCAAACATTTATATGGAGGTGTTAGATGGTACTCCAATAAGAGAAATTATCAATTTCAACTGATCCAATGTTGAGATCTAAATCATATGACCATCTCGACTTAATTTGCTAAACACTAAGAAACCGTTGAAAAATCGTCTATGAAAATTTATGCGGTGCCCCCATTTGCATGTGCTTATTTTGCTCAAGTGTTGATCCAACAATGAGACGGTCCCATGCATGACTAAAAGTGTTTCAAAGCCTGGTCAATTATTAAAAAATTTCGTTGCAGTACACGTGTTATTACTTCGTCTGAAATTGTGTATTGTATGACATAACAATGGCAAAATTTCATTATTACACCTTGGTAATTCAAAAATTTTCACATGCATTTTGTGGTATATAGTAATCAGAACGTAAAGGAGTTATTGTTATCCCAATATGTCTTGATTACGTGAATTCAAAAGTCAGTTTATTTTACGTCGTATGACGTATAATATCCCAGCAGCATACTCTACCGCTCAATAGCAGTCAGGTGTCATTATTTAATATCAAAAAGGGCTACCTAGAGTATTTCTCGCAACTTGGACCTAAGCCTCTCGAATTTTATAACTTAGAGTGATCTCACAGCGAAAATTGATTTATTTGTTAAAATCACATATATATGTCAAAAAAGGGTAAAGACTACCATTTACAAAGCCAAGCAGTATTCCCTTCCGCGAGATTTAACTCTTTAATAATAAAGAGGGTTACCTTAAGTTTTTCATACAACTCGAACCTATCCCTGCAAAATTTTAGAAATCGGGCTATTCGTTATTCGTTAAAATTACGTGTGTCAAAAATGGGTTAAAATTACCATTTTCAAATCCTAATAGCAACTCATGCGCCCAAGAGGCACGAGATTTAAATATTTAATAATTAAGAGGATTACGTTAAGTTTTTCATACAACTCGAATCTATCTCTCCAAAATTTTAAAAATTCCGCCTAACATGCACGAGATTTAACCATTTAATAATAAAGAGGGTTACCTCAAGTTTTTTATACAACTCAAACCTATCCCTGCAAAATTTTAGAAATCGGGGTATTCTCACAGACATTATGCCCTTATTCTTTAAAATTACGTTTTTCAAAAATGGGCTAAAACTACCATTTTTCAAATCCTGATAGCAACTCATTCCGCCCAAGAGGCACGAGATTCAACCATTTTATAATTAAGAGGATTACGTCAAGTTTTTCATACAACTAGAACCTATCCCTGCAAAATTTTAGAAATCGGGGTATTGTCACAGACATTAATCCCTTATTCGTTAAAATTGCGTATGTCAAAAAAGGGTTAAAATTACCATTTTTCAAATCCTAATTGCAACTCATTCCGCCCAAAAGGCACGAGATTTAAGTTAAGATACTCAAATAGTGAGATCAGTCAGATCAGCGACTGATACCGGTCAGATGTACTCAGATACATGTGCAGTGCAAGTGAAGCAATATATACGGAATGAATATAATGAATAAAGTAACGAATAAAAATACGAGACGATAATGTACAAACGCACAACGTAAGAGCGCCACACGACAGAACGAGAGAACTAACGCAGGGCTACTCAACTATCTTTGCTAAAGGTCCATCTACAAAACTTGAAAAAATTCCTGGGATCCGGTCTGGCCAGAAAATGTACTTCGTACTGCGCCCAACAATATTTTAGTGACTCTATCGTTTCGGTTGAAAAGTCAAAAAAAAGCGAGTTGTGGAAAACTGAGTAACCGCGAAATATTCCACATCCTTTTACATATCCAAAATTAAGTGGAGACAATCTTTCAAAATAGAGAAATTATACGCGGTCCGAATCGATTACATGAAAGGTTCGAAACAAGGGGTTTTGAATGTTTTATGGACCTTTCCCCGAGCATAGACTTCCTTGTTTACTTCGTGACATTGGCCAATCAGTAAAATGCAAAAAGTGACGTAACAATGCCCCCCCTTCGCATCCGCTCAGACACTTTTTTCACTCAGACAGATTTTCAAGCGTGGTTGTAAACATTACTTCGTTTTCGCGTTTTTGAACTTTTGGTGAAGTATTTGGGATATCGGGGGCACCACGACAAACCAAAGATTCACGTCTGGTAATAAAAGGTTTGAGTCTATTGAAATAGACTCGACTACTAGGATGGGATTTCCCAATGTTTTCATGAACTGGTTCAATCAGAAAATTCTGATTTTCCAAAACGTTAATAATTTTGTAAGGGCCATTCCATAAATAAGCAATTTTAGTAGTTTCACCAATAGGTACAGAAGGTGTATAAAGCATTACTAAATCATTAACTTTAAAAGTATTAGAAATAGCAGTTTTATTATACTGGTTTTCCATTAATTTACGAGATTTCTCAAGACGCTTTATACCGTAACGGTAGTCACTTTGGTCGCGACTAGCATTTTAGTGTTGAGGCTCCCCAGCGCTTTAATTAAAAGGCGATGACTAAGCGGGGGATGGTAGCGATAAACAATAGTCGCACTGCTATTTGTTTTCCAGCTGTCCAAGTTGTGAAAAGTTTCGCCTGGGTTTCATTGTTCGTGCCGACTTCCGATTCTTCTAAATCTGTTCTTACAACTGCAAGACTGTGTAATATTCTGCAGTCTTTTATACTGTTATAGGGTCGTGATGCAAGTATCGTACAGGAATACCGTACGGTAAAGATCTAGTTAAGTACGGTAGGCTGGTAGGGTTGAAATTTCAGAATTTACAAGGACTAAATGCAAAAATGAAGAGCTGACCAGTCGTTCAGTAGTCAACTGTTTGACTGTGCAGTAGTGCCGACAGGGTCAAGTCAAAGAATAATTTCTGAAATTCCCAGATTTTGAGTTTATTAGTAGAGTTTGTTAATCCACTTTTTGATCACAACAAATTCGATGATAGTGACTTAGGTACCGGTACCTATATAATCGAAGTATTATTGAAAAATAAAATTGTAAGTTTGATCACCCAGCTAACACCTGCCAGCCAATTTTTCATGAAATCTTGACAAACTGACAAAATGAGCTCCAAAACAAAGTTACAGCATAAAAGCCGATGGCAAGCAAAGCAAGGTTTTTTTGTAAATTATTGTGACCTTGAAACCAGACCAGATAAAACACTGAAAATAATAGAAAAAATAGTGACGGAAAATCGCACTTTAAAATATTCATGGAAATTTAGTTGCGATTTCCCAGAAAAGCAGTTGGATTGGGCGACAGGGTGATCAGAATTATAAGACTTTGTCATTTTTCAATATTAACTACCGTAGTTATCGAAGCTTAGGATCAATTGGGTTTTTGTTATATTATATGATTCTCAATACTGTTATTGATTGTGTTTTGTTTTCTATGTAGCCAACTATTGCCATGGCTGGTACAGCAGGCAGAGCCATTGTGAATATAGGGAAAAGAGAAATTAAACCATTTATGTCAAATAATCGTGTCGAAGCCAGACTTCGAGTATTGAATTTATACAAGACATGGTATCGAGCTATTCCTGAAATCTGCTTCATCTACCGCCTTCCAGCTCCAGCAGAAACTCTACGAGATAGAATCAAAGAGGAATTTTTCAAAAATTCTCACGTTCGTGATGTTCGGGCTATCGATTACCTTGTTGTCAAGGGAAGAATGGAATTACAAGAAACTATGGAAATGTGGAAGCAGACACATCATATTCTCTATTTCTTGAAACATGACTCTCGTATAGAACGACCAACTACTTTCCTGTCCAAGTTTTTTACTCAGAAATAATGCTCTAAAATTATATAGATAGACAATACTTTCCTAACTTTTTTTGTTTTCTTGAATGCTACATTGAATTCTACATTGAAATTCTACATAAACAGTTAGCTGTTTATATGGTATATATTTACATTGAACAAGTATACCTTTCTGTGATAGTGACATTTCTATTTGCTCCTTAACTTGAAAGTACAGTTCATTAAATCCTAAAGTTCTGAGACAATGCGTGTGAAAATTAGATTGAATTAATGGTTTCATTTCATTGAATATTTTCTGTCAGTATCCAATGTCTTATTTATATCTTGTTGAATTCTCTTTAGATGTTCTGACAATAATATATAGATGATAGTTATTTGAAATCTATAACTTAAAACGGTATCCATATCATTCTTATAATATGTCTGATGAGAAAGAGACCGACATTCAAAGTGGTGAAGAATCTGATTCGGAATACGAGGACTATGACGATTATTACAACAATAACGATGATAATTTAAGTAGCGATGAAGAACCAAATGATAATTACTCTGGACAGAAGGGTCAGGGTGATAACCGGGATAATAACAATGTCAAAAAACTAATCCAAGACTTGGAATATTTTGAGTATGAGTGTCTTGCTACTGAGCAAGTCGACGAAAAATTAGAACAGGAATGTGCTAGTGTTGCCAGTAAACTGAAGGTCAAGGCATCTGTGGCCGGACTTGTTCTTCAAGCAAATAAATGGAAAACGCCTGTCATTTTACAAAAGGCAACAATTGGTGAAGATGAGAGGATTAAACTACTGATCAATGCTGGTGTTCAGTGTGCGTCTGCCCCTCCTTCACTGCCTGTCCCTGTTCGAAAGTTAGCCACAACAAAAATTGAGTGTGGGGTTTGCTTTGATTTACTACCTCGTCAAAAGTTAGCTTGGCTTTCCTGTATGCATGCTTTTTGTCGCGATTGCTGGCATATGCATATAGAAACTGTTGTCAAAGATGGTATGCCTGTGGGTGTTGAATGCATGGCTAAAGGGTGCAGTTTATTTTGTCCTAAGGACTTTGTTGAGCAATTTTTAAATATGCAATCTCGTTTAGCAATGCAGTATAAAATTCGCTTCAGAGATGCATGCGTAACTGCTCATTATCTGCTGCGGTTCTGCGCTGGAGCTGATTGTAGTATGGTTATTTATGCGAAAACGCCAAGAGCACGTCATGTAAAATGCAAAGAATGTCTCACTGAGTTTTGTTTCGAATGTGGCAATAACTATCACTCACCCACTGATTGTGATACGATCAAAAGATGGTTGTTGAAGTGTGGTGATGATTCTGAGACAGCTCATTATATTTGTGCAAACACCAAAAACTGTCCGCGTTGCAATATATGCATCGAAAAGAATGGGGGATGTAATCATATCCAGTGCTCCAAATGCAAATTCAATTTTTGCTGGATGTGTCTTGGTGATTGGAGTAGCCACGGTAATTCTTATTACGTTTGCAGTAAATATAAAGAGAATCCCTTGATCGCAGAGCAAAATCAGAAGTCCCAGGCCAGAGAAGCATTGAAGAAATATCTCTTTTACTTTGAGAGATGGGAAAATCATAGCCAAAGTTTACATCTTGAAGCTGAAGCTCGAAAACGTATCCAGGAACAAATTGAAAAGAAAGTTATGAATAATGAAGGAACATGGATCGACTGGCAGTATTTGTTACGTGCTGGAGAACTTTTAGCCAAATGTCGTCTTACGCTCCAAAATACATATCCACTTGCTTATTACTCACCTGTCGGGGCAGAAAAAGAATTATTTGAATATCAGCAAGCACAATTGGAAGTCGAGATTGAAGAATTATCTTGGAAATTGGAAAACGCTGGATCATACCAGAGAGGGGACATAGAAAACCAGATGGATGTTGCTGGAAAAAGACGACATACACTGCTTTTGCACTTTCTGAAAGATTAAACTGTGAACTTATTTGAACTCTCATTATCATATACTGAATATCACCTGAATTTTCATTTTTGCATAAAATGCAAGTTACTCATGCACAGAATCATCATGTATTATATAACTCCACAGCATCCTAGAACACCAGTTATTGCTGATACCTATAGTTTTATATTTGAATATTTTGATCTTGGTGCACTAGTATTTTCAGTATCATAGTTAACTTGCAGAGAAAAAATGGAAATATGGGAAGCAGTTGATGTTATTCAATGTTTCATTAGGAATATTTTTTTTGAACTTGTTGTATTGTAATTCAAGTAATTGCCTGTAATGAAATGGATATTTATATCTTACGAAAATTGTAATTGGCCTAAGGCTATTCGTAGAAAATCTCTAGTTTCTCTATTCTTGTAATAATTGTCAATATTTTGTGCAGTAGCAACAATAAATTTGTTTATCTTACGCTTCAATTCCTACAAAAGATAAATGTTTTATAATATTTTTACAGAAATCCGCACATGTTTTTTTTTCAATCTTGAAAATTTTTGTCACACATTTGAGTGAAATAATTATTTTTACAATGTCATTTTTTCATTCACTTTGGTCACTATAACATTTATCTGGCAATTTCAAAGTTTGTACATATTGCTGTAAGCTTGTGATTTCACCTATTTTCTTTTATTGTAAAATTATTTTGGTGTTTTTTCTTTTTAGTCTACTTAATACAGGCCACAATAATTAACCCAGAGATCCAAATTCCATACCGCTTTTAACCAGGTATATGAAGTTGTTCGGTCAACCAGCAACTATGTCTGAATTGGAAATCTCAACAGCTAATGTTTGATGATTGTAACTGATTGTTTTCTGTATAAGTTTGATAAATGCAAAATATCATACTGGACTCAGATTCAATTAACTCTATTTATCGGTCATATGATGGTATGTACTTGAACAAGATACCGCTGCCTAAGTTGGAAAATTGCTTCACAAGCTAACTAAAGGCATTTAACTCTTGTGCATTATCATGTTTCTGTATAATAAGTGTTGTAAACCTTGCTAACGAAGCAAAGATTTATTAAGCATCAGTGACCTAGTTAACTCATAATTACTGTGTCATCAAGTCATATACTTTCCAATTAACTTGTGGGATTTTCACCTTTATTTGAGTTTGTGAAATCTGTATATAGTGCAATGTTTCTACCTATAAATAAAATGATTTTGCAAGATGTGAAGCGCTTCTACTTTGTATTATACACTTCCGTCGAAATTGCCATTTACATGTTCTTCTTTAGCTTGTAACTTGCTACTTTCCTGTGAACTTTTTCCAATACACTTATTTTTTGTTGTGTGAAAGGTGTCTTTACGGGCATAATGGCAATGATTCACTTGTTAGCAAACTGAGTTAGCGGGCATACTTAGATTCTGCAGGAGTGTATGGGTTTATCCTGGATTACAGGGAGTTAGTTGATAAAGAACCTCAATATTTTAAAGCTTCACTGACCAGCTATAATTAGTCAGTCAGTTAGTGTTGGGCGGCTTTTGCCATTTAAGAGACTTGAGTTGTTTATGTTAGTTATCAGCTTCTATGTCGTGACTCAAAGGTGTGTATATGCATGGAATTAACCGCATCTCCATACTGAAAGTGTTTAGAACATTTATCCAGCATAACATAATTAGCAAGCTAAGGGCGGGCATACTGGTAAATAGCTCGAAGATGCCAATGCTTCATCATTATACAGACCATTTTGTTTTTTTAAGGGACTGAAAATGGTGTATCTGTTATATGATTGTGAAGTCCTTGCGTTTGTATCGAACGTTAGTTCCTGTGAATCCGTGTTTTATTCAATGTTTTAGGACATGATAATTAATTGTCAGAATAATATATTTATTAATTACATGAGAACATGGCTGAAGGCTACATATGAATCTGCCATGGGCATATCACTTCGCTAATAAGTCTATGTTACATTTAGAAAAACAGTTCATTTCTTTATCATTTATTAGAAAAGCTTCGTCTATACAATGAGCGATCTTAGAGACTTGCCGGTATTGGTTGTAATGAGCAATTCAAATTGGAACACAATAAAATGAAAAAACATGCAAAATATCCCTTAATGAACATTACATATTTTGAGACCACTGCACAAAACAAACAAGGCATTTCAATTCATTCGAATGAATGCATCAAAAATCAAAAAATTTCAACTTGACAATGATACTTTTTTTACCCTACCTGCTGTACCTAATGATCAGTATCATGTTTGCTTAAGACACAAAAACTCATTCATTGAACCAGTCAAAACTGGATATAACATAAGACCTCACTAAAGAATGCGTTTTCAGTCCTTATATATATTCCAGTGGCATCACGCCCCAATTTTTCAAAGAAAATACTTAAGGATGAAATTTAAGTAAACCGAAAGGTAGCATGCTACAACAGCAATGTCCATCTCCCTTTAACTGACTATACTAGCATTTTTTAGTCAATTTCCCAGTCTATTGGTATAGCAATACGAAAAATAATGGTATCCAAAATCACAAATGATCCAGTTTACTTTGTGACTATGAATATGCAAAAATATGTTTCCGCTGAACCCAAAAACTACAAGACAGAACAGCGCGAATATAGTTGAAACGTTTAGCATATGTTTGGTGAAAATAATTGAAAAAACACAACTCAACATGAATTAGAAAATGTGTATGCAGTTTATGACGACGCATCAGTATACAGCATGCATGACCTTGTACAGTGTCTTTTGTACAGCTTCCTAAGCAGAGAGATCCTTGAGAAATATCTTAATATTGCGAGTTCAGATGTAGGTTACTTTTCAAAAGCGATCTAGTGCATGTTTAAAAGCACCTTGATAGCTTAAGAGCCCAGTGGAAGTGTAGATAAATGTCCGTTCATGTTGTGCATTCATTATTATCATGCAAATGAAATCTTCATTTATATTATAGTAGATTCCCCTTCTAAATAGGCCTGTACCTCTACTCTTTCATTGTTGAATCCGCTTGGCCATCCATTTTAGACACCGGAGGAGGGGCAGGCGACTGCCCGGAAACAATCGGTGAAGCTGATGCAGCCCTAGGCATAACCATAGCACCAGGAATTTGATTTATTTGTGCCCTAGATGGTCCATCCGGGGTTACTCCATCATTTATTGCAGCCAATGGTGCTGGAACTGGAACTCCAGCTGGGGGTATGCCGTAACGGAAAGAGTTGCCGTTAGTTTCATGGTGTGCTGTTGGTACCGGTATGCTCGGGACAGGATGGATAGATGGTTCAATTGGCCATGGTGGAGCGCTATGCATTCCTGAGCCAGACATTGAACCAGAGGATGGAAAATATTCTTTGTTGACGCAATTTCGTAGATTATCAGGAATTCGACCTAAAATTGAAAATACAAACACCATGTTGACCAATCAAGCTGAAATACACCTGATATGCCCAGTCATGAGTCATTAAAAATGGTTGCAAAGTTGACAAATAATATATTGTTATCATCGCTGTTTTATTGAATGACCTATGAATGAATCATGTGAACCAAGGTATGACCTCCATTAATAATAATAGGTTGTGATAAATTATAACATGTGAAATAGAATCAAGAACTACTCAATAGCTACAAATTAATTCATGGCGGTCATCATAATCAATATATCCATTTACACAAATTATTTCTTTATGTTTTGATCAATTTTTATTTGTTTGAAATTTAAATGCCTATTTTATATAAAGAAGAATACTGCAAAAAATGAAAGAAGCTATAGATGCTGATACCTGTTATGGCACGCCTGATCTCAGCAGCAGCAGATTCTCTTAGTTCTACCCAACTCTTTTCACTGTACCAAGCAGCATGAGGTGTTATAATGAGGTTAGGAGCATCACGTAAAGGGGAATTTTCATATGCAAATGGTTCATTCTCCTATATATTGAAAGATTTTAGTTAGAAATTTATTGCTATAGGTATCATGCAGCTATTACAGTCAACCGACTTAGGTAATTGGTAAATAAATGCTCAACCATTAAAATTGAACACAGATCTTGCAGAAATCAAAAAACAGCTTTCTGGCTAACTTGATTCTGTACAAAGAGCAAGGCAACAAATACTCAAAATATTTTTAAAATCTCATTTGACTAGATCATTTACGGGAAGTCCAAAATTAGTAACGAGGTCAAGACTAAAGTTTGACTTTCTTTGGTGAATGGTTGCATGAGTTCAGAAAAAGGTTAATTCTAACAGTGACAAAATTATCGCTGTGTAGAGAGAGAAATTCAAATTTCATGGTGGACCTTGGGTGCCAATTTAGTTCTGCTAGTACAAGTTCAAAAGATTAAAAAATATGACAATCCTGCATTCAACTTCAAATTATGTTGCGTCATCAGTGCAGTCTTAACTGAGACAGTTTCTTTCGATATGTGTGATATTATTTACAGCAAATTTAACTGAGAAAGTGTCTCGGATTGTGCATATCGTTAAGGATCATATATGTACTTTTTAATTTATTAATACGAAGCATTGGACCAGATTTAATCGCCATCATCTCATGACATAGGCTATATATTTAACAAACTTGAATTTCAGAAAATAATCATACAATATCCATTTTTTAATATCTGATTTAAAAGAAGCTTTTTATATATGAACACATGGTTTCATAGTATGATACCATCAACAATACTCGGAAAGAAAAAATGGCCTGGCAGTTGGTATATCGTGCTAATCATCAGAGATGGGCTTGTCATCACACCTCTGAATACCCTGCGCAGCTTCGCATCCTGTGGCGAAGATAATTATGTGCGAGAGGATTGCTGGACCCTTCATCGTTGTATGTTGTAGAATGGTTCACGTAACTGTGGGTCGGTTACGGCTTTCCCCGACATCAAGTCCCTGAATCTGAAACAAAGACGTGATCAACTATTCCTATACCCAATATGGACTGCTCACTGGACAAGACACCGTGGTTCGTCATATACTTTTCTCTACCCCAAGATAAATATGGAGATCTTAATTAAATAATGATTATATATGACCTGTACATCAAGAGCTGCCCCTCTCAGATTTCCATTTTTAAGTGCAGAAGCAAGTGCATGTTCTTCTACAAGGGAACCTTGTGCTGTGTTGATAAGAAACGCTCCGTGTCGCATTTGTTTGATTGTGAAATCGTTTATTAAATGATTGTTGTGTTCATTGAGATTGCAATGTATTGAAACGCAGTCACTCTGGTACAGTAGATCCTAGTGGCGCAAAACAGAAGGAAACAAATTACAGTTCATCTGCATTTGGTTAAATTCCATACTATTAAAATAGTCGGTGGGCAAGAATACATGATTTGGGAAACCCAATTAGAACCTGGATTGGTTAAAACAATATTTTGATAATCACTACTTTGAAGAAAAAATGTAATGAACGTGTTAACATTCAGGGATGTACAAATTTGTGCTGAATATTAGAAACAATTATGATGACTTTATTGAAATCTTTCATCTTTAGCCATTGATATGATAGAGGCATATCTGAAATTAACAAGCTTAACACATGCTAACTGTGAACCTAAATTTTTTTTTTAATATATTTACTTCGAGAAATTCTACATAGTACATACATACATACTACAAATCATATATTTCACCTGCAAAGTAGGTACATCTTGAAATCCGAGAGCTTTACCAATTCCATCCGATAAATATGGATCATAAAATAGAATATTAAACCCAAAAGCTTTTGCTCTTTGTGCGACTGCTGTACCCGTCCGACCTGAGAATGAAAATATAAATATTCATTTCCATATTTAAATATAAAAAATGATAGAATGACACTAGCAGTATCATGGCATGAGAATAGTAAATGTACCGTAATATGTAAAAGTAATGGAAGTTGAAGAACTTGTTCAATCTAATTAGGACAGGCAAATGAAAAGCACAATTACTATTTACAATTACAAATTTTGTTTCTAGTCCAGTTTCTACACTTACACTGGTGTATGATTAAAAATTTCCTTATGGTTAGTAAAAAAACAGTCCATTATCTTTCCCTAAAAAAATTAAGCATACATCATAATTTATACCGCACAAAAAACATTATTACTTGAAATAACTTGTGGATTCATTCAGATACCAAATTAGATTTTTGTTACAATCAGCAAAAACACCGTTGATTCCTATTTTTTAATTTAAAAAGATATCTCGAGAATAATACCAACATTTAGTCAGGAACAGAATAAAACCATAACCCACATTATTATGTTGTGGCAGCTTTCCATACTTATTATGGAAGTATTAAAATACCAGATAATGAGTCATTGAATTTGGGAGTGTTGTATGAATCATTGTATATATATTAGTGACAACTGACAAGCGGTATAAAAATCTTTGTAATTAAGCATTAATACACTGGGAAAACAGTCAAACACGATAATAACAAATGAAAATGTTTATGCTATAACTGTGTGAAAAAATAATAATTTCGTTTTCTTAAAAACTAATGATAAAACTAATGCAACTTCGGTAAGTATATTGAAGATGACTGACCTAATCCTATGATTCCTAACGTTTCTCCACGAATTCTTGTAGCTCCAGCAGCAATTTCTCTTACATTTTCACTGTTCTGTGGTCGCCTGCCTTCCTTTACTGATTCATGTAACCAAGTTACTCTTCTATATAAATTCAATATGTGACATATTGTTGTGTCGGCAACTTCATCAACTGTGGCAGCAGGTACATTACACACAGCCACTCCTGAAACAAAGAAATGTCTTTAGCTATATCACATGAAAACAAACTTGCATGAAATGAGAAATTCAGACAACATAACCTAGGCAAGCATTAGGTTTCTCAAACTGGGCCCTAGCGAGCCACAAAGTGGTTTTCTGGGAGCCACAAGGCATAGATGCCATTTGCTACAACAAGTAAATTGACCGTAATTGTTTAATTCTTTGACAGCAGTGCTTTATTCTTTTGCTTTCATTCGTTATCTTTTTAATATTAAATGTAACGAATAAAACAACTGATGGAGAAGTGTCAAAAGCAAATCTAATTTTTTTTTTTATTCTGCAAAATCTTTGGAAGTGGCCACAAATCATTCAGGTTTGAGAACCATTGCGTTAAGCAAAGAGAAATATTCCATTCCTTTCTAAACTATATTAGCTCTATCTGCCCAAATAAGCATTGTGCAAAAGTGAAGATGTTAAATACCTCAAAAGATTAGCAATAAAAAAAATTTGAAGTAAAGATTTATAAAAATATATCTATTGAAAAGACGATCAAAACCATATCCAGTCATTATAAACTCCAATTTCATACGCAGAATACCCAAATCAAAGTAAAATGTATTGTTTTGAAATTTTTTCAGTTTTGCCTACCCATATCAGCAGCAGCTTTTATATCAACATTATCATATCCAGACCCTATACAAACTATGACACGAAGGGCTTTGAATTTTTCAAGATCTTCTCTCGTCAAAGGAATGCGTGACATCAATGCACCAACAGCCTCATTAAGCACCTTGAAAGATAAACAGTATGATATAAACAAATATAGCAACAACTCACAACTTTAACCCTCCTTTAAATTGAAACATTTTCAACATTAGCAGTCATCCATCAAATCAAACATCTCAATTTGAGGGTTTCAACATGCTAGGGTGAATGTTGAAAGTTTCCAACAAAAAAATTAAAAAACAGCTTTTCTGAACAAAGTTTGAAACGATATTCACCAAAGTTATTTCAGTGAAAAGCAGAGATGTTTAGAAGTCAAGAAAATACTTTTCCCAAATTTTCCCAAAAAGTTTTTTTCAAGTTTCCTCCGTTAAAGTTAGATAAATATTGGCAGTTTGAAGAATAAAATATGAATGAATTTCATGATAGAGCATTCAAATGAGTGCTAATCATTTAATTGAGTTTGATTTAATAACAAAACCATCATGTTGGTAGCAAATTCAAGATTCTGTAAATCACATAATATGACATATCACATTTCTGCAGCATACTATTAAATATTGAACAACAGAAATCAAAATAAACCAAAACAAAAATTCATACAAAAAAATATTAGGAGATGGTTACTTCCTAATTAGTACGATAAACATGTTTGAAAAATTCCAAGTATTTATACTAAATAACCACAAACATTTTTTGAATTTTCCGTTCAATTACATAAAAATATTTTTTTTTTCAACTCAAAACAGTTCCAATCATTACCTTTTCATGTATTTCTTGTGTTGATTGAGCATCACAGAAAGCTACTGTTGCTATATCTTTTAAAATTGGCATCTCCACACTGCAATCTCTTCCATCTAACAAGGCTACCAAAGGCCTTCCTCCAGCCATGGTGATTGTGATTAAAATTAGTCTAAGACATGCAATGGCTGATATAACCTACTTATTTAATATTATACACAATTACAGAAAAATCTGGCAACATGAATTAAATATGTTAAATGCAATTCCTAATAAATAAAATAAGTGATAATTTTATATAATTGGCTTCAAAATAGATACAACTATTAAACATTTGAAAGCGTTATTATTATAGAGCTGTCATTAGAATAAACATTATAAAGAACCGTCATTTGTGTCTTTAATTCAAGACTAGTTTTGATTCCAGCCATGCATTATGGAAAGTCTCTGCACATTATTAGAATTTTTCAATTAGAATATGAACACACTGGTAGCTTCAAATCTAAGATTCTTTTCTTTAAAAAACAATCAAAATTATTTTCAACTAACGTAATCGCCATCCAAATGAACTCGTATAAAGAACTTGCATTAACAGACTTATACATGTGAATTAAATATCATAGGACTTATTACTAGAACATTGTGTTGTAATGCCTATATACTCCCGTAGCTGAATTGAATATAGCGCCATATTACAGGAAACAGCTTCTGGTAGTAATTTAATATTTTTTCCTACTAAGAAAATCACATGCTGATGGAAAACAATATGATGCCGGCAGGAAGTGTACTTTATTTCCTGAGTAACCATATTACCCAAAAGCAAAACACTTTAGTATCGTATTTACAGCCTTACTTGATGTGAAATTTAGAGTGGGGAATTCACTAGTCATCATAAACCAAGGCTAGAAAACCCGCCAAAACAAAATAAATTATTACAACTAAACTGTTTGGTGCAATGTTGACAATATATTTACTTAGCTAATGAAATGTGCTATAAAATACTAAAACTACTTCAAATCGGGAAATGTCCAAACCGAATATTTTGGATACAAACCGGTAGTTTTTAAGGTTGAATGTAAACTATTTGTTCTCACACATCAATCGATCAAAAGCTAATTTTAAAATGAAATTATTGTAAACTATAGTATTATCAAAAGTAAAACTTTATTGTAAACAATTTAAAAATCTGAAAATCATCGACTATTTGATTTTTTCCAGAATTCCTAGTTCAAACTGTGCAACATCCTATCACAAATAGCGTCAACTAGCTTAAAAAATTTGAATTAATACACAGTTAGGAAAACATTTTATATAGCAAAACTATAAAAATTTGGAATGGTATTTCTGCAGTTGAATATAAATATAACGGAATAAAAAAATGCAAATAAATGGAGAATGGCACACTATTAAATTACTCTTGTCTTCGAGTAACTAGTTCAAAACAACAACAAACAAGGATCATCTATAATCAGCATCACATTCACAATTCGAATTGAAAATGAATCACAGAAATTCATTCTCGCAAAGTTGAAGTTTATAAACAATTCATAGTTTATAAACTTTTACCATATTTAATTCAATTACCAAAATATTCCTTATTATTCTGAAGGCAAATATTACAAGGTACAATATGTTAATGATATTATGCATTAATCCTTACTTCATTGTGGAATTATCAGAATTAGATGATATTAGAACATCATAAATATTCAATGTTGCAATTGTTTTATACCTTTTTTCATTTTGTGTAATGTATGACAGTTATTATGATACGGTAACTCGGTAATATGTATGAAAAATTTAACATGACTTTTGAATAAGCCAACTGAATGAAAAGTAATTAAATAAACAGACCCTACTGAACATAATTGAAGTTCTTCTGATGAAAAATTTCAAAAGTGACACACCCATTTAAATCAAACGAACCAATTGAACATTGCGCATTTCTATTTGCTAAGTTAAATTCAGTCAATCTTGACTCTCAACATTTTACAATATATACATATATGTGTATGTAAATATAGGTATATATTTTATGTCAGAATTCAAAGGAAATAGCTGTCACATATAAATGTGTGACTATGTTTAATCAGTTCCTGTTGATAAAGGTTATGAACAATTTTTTGATAAAAATATGTACAAAAATATACATTATACACATTATAACTGTATTATACTTTTCTAAAAACAAACCAAATGTGATAATTTAAGCCCGAAATTCCAATCTTTGATTCGAAAATGGTTTACATAGCTTTATTATAGGCTACATGTTTATTCCTGTATTCCAACAAAAAAAATTGAAAGAATATGGTCCATGTGAGTACTTTCAGTTCATTTGCAGTACAGTAGGGCAAAGTTCTCTGATTTCAAGAATAGCCCCCACATTAATAATCATCAAGTATAACAGTGAATTCAAGCCCCTCCTTTAGAAGACAGTCTTTGTTCAGAGTGTTTGTTCAGAATGCGACTTTCATTTTCAATTTCCGGTGTTGAATAATTTCATATCCCATTCAACCATTCCATTGGACATATTCTGACATTGCAGTATTCAATAGGATAGGATTAATTATAATTATATTATTGTTCATACTTTTCTCAGACTTCACTACTACAGCACTAGCCGACTAGAAAGTCATTCTATTTATTTTGAGCAAGTGAAAATGTCTACTCACTGACTCAGTTTCTGCTACAAAATGCTGAATGATAGGTCAGATACCGGTACCATGTCAAATCTGTAAGTCCAATAGTCGATACGAAACATCAATCGAGTCTTGACGAAAACAATCAAATGACAGAATGAGGATTTTCTCAAATTACAGATGTAAGTAAATCTCTTTTTTTTTCTTTTTTTTCATGGTTCCAACAAAGTGGAATTTTCAATAATTAAATAATAAATAAGGGACACATGTATGTACAAATAGGAAAATAAGTATATACATTAACGACAGCATCATCAATCACATGTATTTTCAGTAAATCTCTGTTCTGAAGTTAGAGCTGTAGAATGGCGTCAGCTATTCGGTCGATGTACACATTCCGATGTACACATCGACCGAATAGCTGACGCCATTCTACAGCTCTAACTTCGGAACAGAGATTTACTGAAAATACATGTGATTGATGATGCTGTCGTTAATGTATATACTTATTTTCCTACCGTAACGGTAAAGTCTGAATGTATAATCAGAACGCTGAAACATGAACTTTCCCATTTTGGTGTTTTAATCGGCGACTGCCATAATACTTTGAAATCAAAATGTACTGACAGTCTGACACCAGGACGCACATCACAAACTGACAAAGTATTATGCCGCGGCGGTGTGGCTCAAGGGGCTAAGCGTTAGAAATACGCTTGCCACCGCACCTCTAATTACTCTGCGTGGGTTCGCAGGTTCGAATCCCATGCAGAGATGGTTATGTGCAAGAGGATTGCTGGACTCCTCGCCGTCGTTCAGTCGTTAGGGTGGATCACGTAACCGATGGTCGGTTACGGCTTCCTCAACCACCAAGCCCATGCTTACGAAAACAAACAATATAACTAGTCCCATACCCGATTTGGAATGGTAACCGGACGAGAGGCCGTCTTATCGGCTTTCCTCTACCCCGGGATAAATATGTACCGTAAATCCCATCCTATCCTATTACGATGCCCGACACTGCAACACCCAAACACGCGCGCTCAGCCAGACCCTTGACTTCAGCACTGGGCTGCTCGAAGCAACAGATGCCGGTATCCACTGCTCAGGCAAAATGGCAGTGGGTGAGTGATAATCTTCGAGGTTAATAAACACTGATAACAAAAACTAAAAAATTGGTTAAAATGGTTCATAACATACAGTATATTCGAAAGATTCTCGAAACATTGTGATGAGGCTAAAACGGAGCGATCGTGAGTCGTTAACCCACGGCCGGCCTATATAAGGGTGGGTGCGAGCAATTATCATTCAAATAGAAAGATAAAAGATATTAGTTTTTGGTAACAAGCAGTCTCATCGCTCGCCCTCATGCAGCACTCCTTCCAACCAGTGTAAAGCGCATTGCATACACGTTGTTTTGTATGATATAAATATCTGGCCTATAAGATTTGATATTAGCCCGCGACCAGCTAAAGGTTGCCGACCGCAATTATCCATGAACCTAGATAATTCGGATCTACGCAATATCCCAAGAATCGTTCCTGAGGAGATTATTTTTGAATCGATGGTGCACTGGGATGCTAAATACAATCCAGAAAGAACTTTTTTTAATAATTCATCACCTAAACGGACGCATCACATAATATGCAATAGAATTTATTTTCATTTAACAAAAATGATTTGGTCAATAGCTCACTCATCACATTCTTGAACAAGATGAACCCTGTCTAATTACTTGTTATTGGGGTTGTTATTATTGTTGTGAAAAAGAATCGCTTTCCTCCCAGATAAAGAAGCAAGAGCTTTCAAATTTGTAGTGCTTATAGAGGTTATATTAATTTATTTTCTTTATTCAGACTTTAGAGCAGGGGTCGGCAACCTACAGCCCGGGGCCAAATCCGGCCCGCGGAGTAAAATAATCCGGCCAGCGACGCTCCACTGAATTATAGTAACGGAACCGCCGTTTTAACGATTATATTCTTTATCTAACATGATTTATTGTGAAACACGTGTAGACTAAATTATATTATAACCTAACAAGTATATAATTTACAATTAATCGTCCAAAAAGCCTATACTTAACTATAATTAGACAAATGGCAACAAAACGCAAAAAAGTTGATGCTAAGTGCAAAGGGTTCGATGGCACAGTAAATATTTGAATGGAATTTGAAGTGCAATGCAATGAGGAAATAAAGCTATATTCTATTCAAGAGATGTTTCACTGCTTGATTTTCATAAAAAGTATGTCCTTGAAGGAAAATTCTATCCAAATTTGACAAACTTTGCGAAAAGATTCACATCGTGGTTTGGAAGTAGATATGCATGCAAACAATTATTTTCGAAAATGAACAGTACAAAAAATAAGTTGAGAACTCGGATCAGTGATTCCCTTTTATAAAATGTTTTAATCTTGACTTTTACCAGTGTCCCATTTAGAAAATGTTTCCCATTTAGTGATGTCGAAAACGTATCAGGCGTGATGCAACAAAAAGTGTCGCATTAAATTTCATTTGTAAACTTTTCTTTGGGTAAGACGACTAAGTTGATTTCACGAGTTGTGATTTTCCCTTTCTAAAAAGATATGCGGCCCGCCAAGACTGGCAACCCCTAATTTTGGTCCGCGAGCGACAAAAAGCTGCCGACCCCTGCTTTAGAGTCTCATATGAAACGATGTTTCACCCAGAGTTTGGCTATTTCATTTATTTGACATTTGACTTTAGTATCCATGTTTTGGCGCATTGATATATTTTTATTATCATTATTTATTACTACAATTGTATTGATGTAGTGACTGAGTGGCGCAGCATAGAGATTAAGACTTTTAATGAAAATAAGCCATCAACGATATTAATTATGTTGGCTGGCACTTGAATATAAAATTTATTTGACCCCGAGTAAAATCGTTAGGTAGCGCTAAGGTGTAGGGTTTATTTCACAGAATAACATTTATTGAACACGAAATGGAGCTATGGATCGTTTTGCTATTATGTTGTTGGTGGTGGCGGTACTTTATTCTTGTTAACTACTGGACCAATAGCTTCGAAAATTTCAGTTGTAAAAGATTGTTTTTTGTCTGTAGTCGGTATTACTTTTATTTATTCCTAGATTTCCTTGAATCTTATGAGATCTGATATTTCATCCAGTTTCATTTTTATTGACGGGAACAGTTTAGTACCAGCAATTATTGAATATTTCATTCTTGACCTCCTGATGACTATGCCATTCAAAAATTACCTCACAGTCGTCAATCACCTAATACATGAGAAATAGCTGGCTTCAGTGAGTTTCTTATCTTTGTCGCAGAAGCCATTACGGACGATCGCTAGCTCTACGCTGGCAAGATCTATTGCGTGATTGTGACGTTTCGGTGACGTGATTTTTTAATAACGCAGTCAGGTATATATTCAAAAAATTTTTACGCCACGCCCACTAGAAATATACTTGTGACACTAAACCACACTAGACCTAGTTACGATCACTGTTACACAGTTCGAGATTCGTTCAGGACATGATTTTGGGGGAATTGTGGGTAAAAATATTTCGTTTCGACTTTCGTGTCTAAATATTTAAGCATTGCTATCTTGTCTGTTACTTTGAATAATTCTATTTTGATTGTGCAACATTACTATAATGGACAATTGGAAACACAATAATGTGCGGTATATTGGCATCCGAATGAGTTAGATAGGGATTATCAATACATGTAAGTGCAATTGTGAAAGACTGAACAGGCACGCAATTCGGGACCTCTACCTGCAACAGATATTTTGCATTGCTGTTTCCTGGACCCTTCGATGATTTGGCTTGAAGTCAAAAGAATCTGAACAGTGTTGGCTATACTGTGAGCTTGACACATCAGATGAGGTATTTCCACTTTACAATACCCAAACCTTGTTTATAGACAATTGTTACACTGCAGAGGGATTTTATGCAAAATTCCTCATGTTTTGTGAAAAAGGTAAAGTCTTATATGTGTTTATCTATCGTCCGTTCACCAATGACTGAAATGATATCTGTAATAATATCGAAAGAATTGGACTTCTTGAATATCATTCCTGATCAGTAAGTTGCAACTTTTTTTTACGTAATTTTATATGGCAAATCCAATATATATATAGTATAGGTGCTTATCTTGAATTAAACAATTTTAAACAAATTAGGGTCCTAATTTTAGATCAAAATATTGCCTGGCGAGTGATGCTCATTTTCCATAATTCCAACATGAATTGTCAAATAGTTAAAAAATGGCCCAATTGCTTTTTTAAAGCTTGCGAATCGAAATAGTTCCATTTGTGTGTCTTTTTAACTTTTTTCTTCTTATGATTTATTTAAGTGTCAATTCGCGATAACAATAATTGTGGTTCACCAGGTATTTATTGCCTACAGTAATCGCTGTAGCAATTGTCATCATTTATAATGGTTATTTTGATTTGGAATTTAAAATTGCAAACTATTTTAATACAAGACCGTAACGCTTAACGT